GTAATATGCAATTTGGTAGGCTATGGAAAGTTAAAAAAAAAAGGGGGGGCAGATAATAAACATTCTCAAGATGAACTAGTTTTACAGATAAAATGGAAACCTGAATGATTACTGTCCAAGATCACACAGCCAGTTAAATCATGTTATCAATGTCCTGAGAGAGTAAGCTTTCAGAAGTGTGGTTCTATATTCTTCCTATATTAAGGAAATAGTTCATGCTAAACAAAGTCTGTGACCATGAGATGTACTGGGAAAAAGGATAGGCTAGTTAGGAAAAGGTATAAATGTAACAAGTAATTTAAAGCAACATGATGGCTTAGAATAAAGGTTTATTATCTTTACTTAATTGTTCTCTAACAAACTGAACACTTTAAGAAATGGATACTATTTGTACTTAGTATTTCAATTTTTATAAGTTTTTCCATATGCACTTAAAATGGTGGTTTGGTGATTTTAATATGAGAAATTTCACATTAATGATGTCAATTAACAACTTTTAAGCAAAGGTGAAATTTAGGCTGGCCTATGTCTGAACGATGAATCAAAAACAAATTTAGGCAGTTTTTTTCACGCTAGTAGTATTTCAAACAGAGATTCCCCCATCCCAACCCCAGTGGGGCAGAGAAGGCATGGATTTGTAGGGGTATCTATCAATAATAACAAAAGACTTCTATTCCTTGAGGTTAACAGCTCCCACTTTCAGAGAAACCTAGGGACTAACAAAGCTTCCTACACCCTTTGTAGGAGGGGAAAAGCTAGGAGTGACACTGAGGGGCAGGACCTCCATCACCTATTCACAGTACTTGCTGGGGGTGGAAAGCATGCAAGATGTTTTGGAAATGAAGGATTTTACTCTGCTAATATGAATTTAAGTCTGATACCATTAACCTGGGCAAAAAATACATTTTCTCTGGGTGGGGGGAGAGGGCACGAGGACTGGCTTGAACCCATAAATGTTTCATACGCCAACTTAGATTTTATCAATACTAGAGACTCCCTAAAACCAAAATGAGTAGAGAATATGAAGACTGAACACACTAGTCACAACCACTGAGAACCCAAATGATCCACAGAACAAAAGGTGCCCATGGGGACCAGGACCAGAGGGCTCTTGATGAGATCCTCCCCCCAGCATACAATTTTTGACACTGTCATGAGGCGATTCCCGTCCCCCAGGGCTCAATTGTGCGTATACTACCTTTTCATTACTTTCCCTAAGATCAGAAGTTAAAAACATCTGGTCATCTTCACACTTCATTAACCATCCCAATATCAGGGACAACATGGACAGGCTTTATCATAACTGCCTCTGTGCAGCTCAGAGATGGTATGACATCACCAGTAAGGTAAGCTGCCAAAACCTCGAACCAACCAAGGAAAAAAGTGACCCTTAGGAGAAGAGAATAACCACTTTGAAACTTTAACCTATGAATGCTGCTATTTTTAATAAAAATCTTTCTAACATAAGGTGAAGATATTAAGCTTTTCTAATTTCTAAGCCACATTTTTAAGAAGTGAAGATGGTATGAACCACTTTTTACTCTGAATGTTCAGCTATCATTCAGCATGCTCAGGAGAATTATCCACAAGACGATTTTCAAGATAAAAGATGAAAACAAACTGAACTTAGCATGCAAAAATACCAATATTTAGAGAACCCACCTATTCAGAAAAGGTACATTTTGGTGGCTCCTAAGTGTTAGGCCTTAGACTTGCTGTCACAAATTACCTGGAGAACATATTAAAAAGCAGATCCCTGCATCTCACCTCTGGACACTGATCCAGAAATTTGAGGTGGGCCCCAGAATATGTATTTCTAACCACTTTTCCTTGTGATTCTGATGCAAACAAGTTCAGGAACAACTGCTTTAGGATTTCACAGTGCCTGAGGTGCTTCACTCACTGCAAAAATACTGAATATCTGTCATGTATTCAACACACCATCCGTCTATTGTACAAAACCTTACTCGGCTAATGCTATTAGGGAGCCCCAGGAGAAACTACTAAATGAACCACCTTCCACGGCACTTGATTTCAGTTTCAATATTCCAATTACTAGGAATTCTACCAAATGCATACTAAATACTAGGTATCTTGGAAGACTTAACTTGAGGAGCACACAAACATTTGTACACTTGCATATGACGTATGTATTAGTCTACTGCAGCCGTCTGAAGGGAGTTTTGCCACATTAAATATAAGAGTTTTGTCTTCAAAAGCCCTGTCTTAGCTAAACTCTATGAGCACTAAGGTCTCAACTCTTTTTATTGGAGGCATGCCCAGGTAGGCAGAGGCTGAACGAGGAACTTCAGATGGGCTTCAATAGATAGGGAGGCTGCTATTCAACTAAGGTAAGTGGGAAAGGGTATGCCAGGAAGCAAGGCCTACAGGAGCATACGTGCAGAGCCTGAGACTATGATCATGTGCCAGAGAAGAGCCAGTCTGACTACTGCGGAAAGCAGTAACAACAACGGTCAACTCCAAAGTCAAATCAAATGATAAGGTAAAAGATTAGGGAGATACAAGAGAAATTTGAGAAGTAACATGAAGAAAGTGCTGTTTTGTGTTTTTTTTTTTTTTTTTTTTAAGTTTAGTCCAATAACCACTACCAGGATAGACTGGAAGAAGGGTAAAAAGGCCAATTTATGGAATGGTATCTCAGGAAATGGAAAGGTATATACATGCAGCTTCTAAAAGGTACTTAAAACAGCAAACATGTGAGGAAAAAAAAAACTGGCTCAAGAGCTTGTGTAAGAACACAGAACATGTCTAATTGAAAATAAGACAAAAAACACACAAAGAACAGACAAAAATGGTGCTCTGTAGTTCTGGAAAATGGTCTGCTTTGCCTCTCAGAGAAATCTGGGCCAAACTGAGGATACCAGCTGTTATCTGATATTTTTACAGGAACCGAATGGGGGTGGGGAAAAAAGGAGCCTGCTGCTTCCCCACCACTCCCACCCCCATTTCAGAAAATCAGAAGAGAAGTAGCAGATGTCACAGTTTAAAAGCCACAAGGCATTACTGTCCTTTCTTCCGCATATTCTGCCTGGGCAGCTGGGCCCTGAAGAGAAAGCTGGGCAATGGGCAGTGAGGAAGCAGCCATCATCAATGGTCTCCTTGCAAGCCACGAAAACTACTGCAGAAGAACTTACAGCTAAAGAACTGACTCACTAAAATAAGGATGATTATTTCTGGAATGGAGAAAAGGCTATGTTCAGGAACGAGCCACCCCAACCATCCCTTCCAATTTCTTCGTAACCATAACTCAGGACGTCAACACTAAGATAAATTAGCAGCAATTCTGGAAATCAATTTAAAATGGGGAGGCCTTCAAAAATCCACAGAACAGAGAACACACAAAACAATCTGAAAATAACTGGATATCAGATTTTTTTAACAGCATTTGATTACCTAATAGTAATAATGTGGGGCACCTGGGTGGCTCAGTCAGTTAAACAGCCACCTATTGATTTCAGCTTAGGTCATAAACTCACGGTTCATGGATTCAAGTTGGGCTCTGCACTGACAGTGAGGAGTCTGCTTGGGATTCTCCGCACCCCCCTTGCTTTTCCCCCCATGCTCACAGTCTCTCAAAAATAAAATAATAAAAAAAAATTTTTTTAAAGAGAAACATGTAGAATTCTTGGACATCTTACATCCAAGTATATTTGGGAGCTACCCCATACAGTTCCCTTTAGATAAGACAGAGCTGGGAGGCATTCTTCCTACAGGCCAATAAAGAATGAGATGTCAAAACTACCCAGAGCTAATGAATTACTTTAGTTAAAATTCTGAGAGAAGCAACTTTTAAGCACAAAGATGACACTGCATTTCCAGATTTCTGAAAAAATGAGCAGAATCTAGACAAGTCTATAAGCAAGATGGATGCCACAGTCAGCCTTGACTAACTTACCCTCACCACTTCAGGCTATCGTCTGAGCTGACTTCTTAAATCAAGGGTGGGAAATAGGTTCCAACTTGAGTCAATTGACAGAGGTTGTCTGGAACACTATTTTGAAAAATATTTGGGAGCCACATCTAGACTGAGTGGAGAAAGACTGCCATGATTGATTGGCAATGTCTGCACTGGGCAGGAGAGGGGAAATTGATGGCACGTGCACTAAGCGTTTGCCAGAAGCAACATCCCTTTTATTCTGTAAAGGAAAAGAAATCTATACTGCAAACTGGATTAAATTCTTATCCAGATACAATCTACATTGGCATTTCGAAAATTCACAAAAGTGGGAAAATATCCACAAATTATTTACCATTTGTCTTGAAAAGAAAAATGTAACAGGAAAAATAACCTGTGTGGCAAGTAAGCTCATCTAGTCAGTCTCCTCAAAGTCAGAGCAGAGTCAAACTACAGCCCAAGGACTACACCCAGCCTGCCAGCTGTTTTTTATGACCATGAGCTAAGAATGATTTTTATATGTTTCAATGACTGGGACAAAAGAAAAAGACTATTTTGTGACACATGAACAGTACATGAAATTCAAGTTTCAGCTTCCACAAATAAAATTTTATAAGATCACAGTCACATCTGTTTGTTCACATTGTTATTGGCTATGGCTGCTCTCACACAAGGGCAGAGTTGAGAAGTTGTGACAAAGACTATAGGACCCACAAAGCCTAACATAGTTACTACCTGGCCCTTTAGAGAACAACTCTGCCAACCCCTGAGCTCAAAGAGCTGGTCTAAGGTTTCCCCAAGTTATATGGCAAGTAATTCACTATAAAGGAAGGAGACTTAATTCAGCAGGCTTCACAAAGTACTTAGCTAAGAAAGTTGCTGCTGCCGCCTTGTTAATAAGGAGTGATTACATGAAATCCTCGTGAACAGGTTCCCCCGTCATGCAACAAACAAAAAATTCTGCTATGCCTCCCAGAGAAGTGTCTATGTGGGCACAAAATGAATAAAGGAAAGAACTACACGAAGACTTCAATGGTTTTTAATCTCTGTTCTGCAGGTAGGTATGAAGAAAACTGAAACATACTTTTATTGTTTTGGTTTGAAGTCTCAATCCATTCAGGGTGTTGATAGCTTTCTCTGCATCCTTAGGGTCAATGTAGTTCACAAAGCCATATCCCAAGCTCTGTCCTAATGAAAGGGAAGGAGAAAAAGGCATACATTAGTTCTACACCGCTGATGCCAGCGATCCACTCTCATTTTGGCATATGGTCTTGTCATTAACACCAGCACATTTTCTCAATAGTAAAAAGAAGTCTACGTTAATTCTTCTAAAAATATACACGTGTTTTTTTTTCATCTCCTGTCTACTACATTTGCAAGTTTAAACATCAGTTAGAACTCAGCAAGCTGTGCATTTAAAGTGCACACGCGCACGCACACACACCTCCAAAGCATTCCATCAAACATGTCCTGCCTGAGCCAGAGCACCCAGCAGCAAATGCAATGTTCAGCTTCAGAGACTGTGGGTGCAAGTCTCTGCCGAGCTGCTGAGTGGGTTTCACGGGCATGACTTATTCAGTTTCGTTTTCTTTACCCAAAAAATGGGAAGGCGTCACACATCAACCAAGAATCTGTCAGTGTTCTGTACTTTGTACCCTGACAAATTTACAGCCTTTACCAAATACAATTATTTCCATTTAAAAGGTGAAGAATCGTGTGTGCACATGGACATTTATTTTATAGGAGGGCCTCTTCAAATAAACTGAATCTAATTTTCTAAAAAAGATTTGATGACCTAGATAAGGAATACAGGGAAATCTGAAGATTTACACTGAGAACATCCAAGCCAGTAAGAACAATGAGAACATGTAGGAAGGGAAGAAAGTATAAACAAAAATAATAAAACACAGTTACTCAAGTAAGAGCTGCTTAAAAATCTTGTTTTTCCCTATCATCTGAGCTCTCTAACTCCTGGCTCAATGATGTCCTAACTCAAAAAAAAAAAAAAAAAAAAAAAGGAAGGTATTCAAGAGGCTGGAATCAATGGAATGCACAGGTAAGTAAAGCCAATCTGAAAGGTCTCAATTTTTCAACTACGGGAAAGTTTCACAGTTTCAAAAAATGCTACAGTAGAGTAGGTAACAACAGTGGACAGAAGAAAGGTTTAGTCTATTAAAAGTTAAACCAAACGAATTGAGGGTTTCCAGGAAGATGTTCGGTAAAGGTCCAAATACTTTTTATTAAGTATCACTTCTGTATGAATTTCACAGCAAACTAAGGGATCTTCGTCCTTGATGGGGCACTTTAGGCACATGTGGTTATGAATACAGGTATTGAGGACAGCCACTCCGGTTATCCAAATGTGGTTCCCTACAACTACATAAAAAAGAGAGAGAACACTAAATACAGTACCTAAGAACTATGAAAACTTGTAATTATATTTTGGGACCACTATCAGAATTTGGGTGTTGTACAATACCCACAACTAATATGTCAGTTTACCTCAATAAAAAAAAAATTGGGGTAATCATTGCTAAAGTATCCCTCTAATCAAATTGCATTTTTTTCCTGTTTTTAAAAAAAGAGGGTGAAGGGGGTTCCTGGGGGGCTCAGTCAGTTAAGTGTCCAACTCTTGATTTCAGCTCAGGTCATGATCTCAGTTTCCTGAGATTAAGTGAGCCCTGCATTGGGCTCTACACAGCGCAGAACTTGCTTGAGATTCTCACTCTCTCTGCCCCTCCCCTGCTCACACTGTCTTGGTCATTCTCAAAAATAAATAATAAATAAAAAACTTAAAAAAAAAAAAAGGTGAGGGATGAGCTAAAACTAATTCATTATTTCTTTTCTCACAATAATCACAGAAGTTTTGTTTTACTCACAGGTCTATTTTTAAAAAGTTCCATGTGAAGCCACTGTATTTTAAGCATTCATCCTTTTACTAATTTGACATTTACCATGTGTCTATAGCATGCATAGTGCCCTCTTAGAAAATGTGCTGCAGCTCTATTGTCAAATGGGATGAACATGAAAGCTGCTCAAGGAAGCAGTTAAGATGGAAAGAACATGGGCTTTGGAAACAGACACACAGGAGTTCTAAGCTTGCCTCTGCTGTTTATTAGCTATGTGACTTTGAAGAAGGCTACTTAACTTCTCTGAGCCATTACTTCCTAAATTCTAAAATGAGGATAGTAATTTCTATCCAACAAGGCTGGTGAGGCAGTGATGAAAACGTTCGCTACTGTTGGAAGTAGATCATTTTAGTCAAAAGATAAATTAAGGAAAAATAACATGTATCTACTACATGTTAAGGAGTTTCCACGTATTCTTTCAAAATTAAATCAAGAAGATGCTACAAATATAATGGGGAAAAGAAAGGCAAGCCAAACATTGTGCAGTTTTGTCACATTGCTATTCTATAACTAAACAGGTCAAATAATCAATTATACCAACGTTAAGAGTCTATTTCTCCTATCTCCTGACACTATCCTCACACCTGCATTTAAATAGCCTCTAATCAAAGTGCTTTTTCAACCCTGGTTGCACACTGAAATCATCTACAAAGCTTTGCGGTGGGGCGGGGAAGCAAACAGATGCCTAAATCCTATTCCCAAAGATTTTTACTTTATTAGTCTATTATGAAGCATTGGTAACAGGCTTAAAAAACCCTGGTGATTCTAACAAGCAGCAAAGTTTGAGAATCACAGTTTTAATGTGAGAGATAATCGGGGCTACAAATCTGGCATCTGGGAAGCCCTGAGAGCGGCCACGTGCTGAGGGGTCGGGGCATGGAAGAAACTTTGTGGGAGGACTGTTTTCACAGATCTGTTTTCAGGTGGAAGTGTTTCAGATGTCTTCCCTCTAAAACCTTCATTTTATCCAACACTTCAGAGAAACTGTTTCTTGGCCTGTGGGGTCACTCTCAGGCACAGCAGTACCTGCTGGAGGTGGGTCACCGGGGAAGGTAAGCCTGCCCTGCCAGTCCCTGCTTAGCTGTCTCCCAGGCTGGTTACTCCTAAGCACAAGGTAGGCACTCCCAACATTTGCTAAATGAATGAGTGAGAAACACAGTGGTGTTACGTATTTAACCAAAGCTATTATCATCAACATCACATCAGATGGTCCATCCACTAAATGGGTCTTTGACCTGACCCCGCACAGCAATCATGGCTAGCTGTAATGAGTCAGCCAAGTTTCTAGTACCTGTGAATTGACTACACTCAGAAAATATTTATCCCTAAATGACCTCTCTTCCACAAACAAAGTTTCTAATTTGCTCAGTGGCATTATCAGGAAGAGCACCACCCATCAATTAGAATATGTTTGAAGTAAGCAAAATTTTACTTTTATTCTAAGGAAGATAATATGAAAGGAGAGATTTGCTGCAAAAAGGCTGCATTTCTAAATCCACTATAGTAGCTGAATTAGCATGTTGGCAGTGAAGTACAAGAGAGTTAGGAACTTCAGAGATTTTCATTTTAAAATATGTTAGTCAAGTCAGCAAATATTTATTGAATGCTTATAATAATTTAAAGCTTTCAAAGATGATACCAACATAGGCAAGACTCCCTCCAGTCTCATCTTTCAGCTATGTGGTATTTTACTATTTAATTTTAGCCTCACATTTATCATATGAGATACTCATTTTCCTCTCCTGTGAAGGAGATAGGAGGATATTTGAAGCTAGGCAACGTCAATCAGCTTCCTCAAATCAAAAAAGCAGGTAGGAAGTAAGGGTCAGGACTTGATTCCAGGACTCTCAAATGCTATGCTCTTCTCAGCTCAATTCACAGCTGGTTAATATATGAACCCAGACCACCTTCAATATGCATGAAGGGTAATGTTACCAGGCATTTTCTAACAGGGGTCTAACCACAAAAACTGTTCTGAGACAGTTGCTCACTGTCTCAAATTCCTATACTTTATGTGCAAATATCTGTTTCTGTATATATGAATTTCAATGCTATTATTCATTCCTATGACAAAGTAAATTGCCTCTTATTTATATAGTGACTACTTTACTTCAGGTTATCCTAAGTGAGTGCAGATTTCTATAAGGTAAAAGCAACACTGAGTCAAAATCAAGAAAAATTATTTAGCCTGGATCCACTTTTTCCACTCTTGTATTCATCAGCTAGTAACTAACAGTCATAAACCACCAGGGAAGGCATGGAAACCAAGCATCATTTATCCAGATCATCCGAATCTGGTTTTCAAATCATTCTGAATTTAGAATGTGCATATTGATAAACCCAAAACCAAGGATCATTTTCTTTAAAAATAAAAATTATAAAGCTCTACATTTAAATTCCAAGTATAAAAGCAACCCAGCATGATTAGAACTGAACACAATGACAAAGCTAAGGCTCTCCCAAAAAATCCTTCAAGACAAATAAATCCTGTCTTTCAAGGCTAAAAAACTTCTGGTAACTGGATATAAAGAATAACGTCAAAGCACTTGTCCCCAGCTATCTATACAAGCTACCTGTGGTCCCAAGGCTCTTAGGGATTTTGGAACCATTAATCCAAGCCTTAGTCCTAACAGGGAAGAGAAGGATTCTAGAATTTCATTACAGAGGAAGTCATGTGAACAGTTATATGGCCTAAGACCTCCATGCATGTACTGAAAACTCTGGGTCAATACCACACTTCAGTCCATGCATTCTATACACTGTGTGTGCGAATGCCTTTTGTTTTGCATCCTCCTTTTTAACCTAACATACATGCCACAGAAGATCCCTTCTTCACAAGAGACAGAAAAATCACTTGTAAACTGCTCCCGGCATAAGAAGAACAGTTATAAACAGGCTCCTTAGAACCACAGTCAAGTGGTCTATAGCACAGAGCTGAAGCACTCCACAGGCCTCTGAATGGGACCGAGGCCCATCAAGAGCCACACGGGGATCAGAACAGGAAGAGGAAAACAGGAAGAGTCCTTTTAGTAACAAAATGCTGGTGGGAAACACAGTAAACTCCAATTTATCCCAAACTGTGCGTAATTCAAAGCAGCAGCCATTCCCTTGCCACCTACATTGCTTTTAATAGCATACTTTAATTAAAAATTTAATTGCATATTTTAATTAAAAATACACAATCTTCTGGACCCATTTAATTCAAAGGTCACTTTACTTAGTCTTTTCTATTTCAAATTACTACCAATGTGCAGAATATCAAATTACCCCCTCAGGTTT